GGGGGTGGGGGGGGATAAACAAATCACATGAAAAGAGCCAAAGGGTCAAACACGGCCAGGGATGCTGGGCAAGGCCTGGATGGGCAGGCAGCCCCTCGGAGCGCGGGAGGGGAGCGCTGCGTTGGACAGAGACGGGAAGGCAGAGGCGATGAAGGCAAGCGAAGGAGGCGGCGGCTGTGCCGAGGGCGCTGCGTCCTTCCACATGCTGGCTGCGTCCCGGAAAGCGCTGCCCAGGGCTAGTTATTGTTCATGATCCACCAGGAGGCTGGGGAGAGAAACGGGGACAGGGTCAGCGAACCCAAGCGGGTGGAAGGGAATCGCACTGAGTGTTTCGTCATGGGAGGTGGGGGCGGACGGAGAGTGCGGCTCTGTCCCCCACTCAGAGCTGATTGATTGATACTTTTTTTTTTCCTCTAGGCTGTTACCTTCACACCCAAGCCCTGCTCATTGCGGGTGACCCCGGCTTTGCTGAGCCTCCCAAAAGCGGTGGAGATAGCTTGGGCTGCTCTCCTGCAAGACCCGGTGCACCCTATCAGCCATGGTGCCCTCAAAGCCCTGCCAGCTGAGGACACAGCACCACACCACATAGCCTGGCTCCCTGCAGTGTCCCGTGCTGGGGACACCAGGCCCAGCAGGATCCATGTGCTCCAAAGAACACAGGGAACTAGGTCAGTGGGACCAGATGGTCAGGGAGAGTGTCACCAGCATGGGATTTAGTCCAAATTAATCGGTGTTTTATGTTATTTTGGGCAAGACCCAAAGTGGTGATAGTAGGCTAGGGCTTGGTTTGGTCCTACCTCTCTGCAGGTTCTCCCAGTTCCTCACTTACTTACTGCTCAGATTTCTGTTGGCACCATGGGGACGCGCACTTTCCCTGAATCTGGTCTCTCCCCTGGCTCTGCACCACTGAGCCTTACAACAATACTTGGACACAGCCACTCTGAATGACACAGCAGGGCCAGCTCTTTGCAGAGAGCTTCCTGGGATCAGGTGAAGAAAAATGAGGCGGCAGATGTCTTCAGACAGAGTTTGGGCTGATATCAGGCGGACTCAGCATATCTGCTACCTGGGAAATACCCACAAGCTGCTTGGAAAACCTGGCTAGAGAGCCAGGTGACCATGGGGCTGTGAGCCTCAGCCACACTCAGGCCTGGACAGTTACCATCCTCCAGTCGGGGGCGCTCCTGGGGCTGCTCACAGAGGTGACTCAAATGCTCAAATGCGGCTAAAAGCACTGGAAAACCACTTTTCTTGAACAAGCTGAAATGAAGTTACATATGCCTTTGAAGCAATTCTCCCACTCCAAAACCCCCACACTCTTTGAGAAACAACCAAACTTGAGAGTGGAAACAAGTTCCACTTTAGACTGAAACTATGATTTAAGTGAGCCCGAGCCAAATTGTCTGTTCTGGAGTGAGCCAAGCAGTCTGTTCCCTGCAGTGCTCCCTGCAAAACACGTCCTCCCTGAGCAGAAGCGGTCCCCGCGCCCCCCACGTCGAGCCGGCCCACGCAGCCCTGCTCACCTGGGAAGAGCATGGTGGTCAGCAGCTCCGGGGCCTCCAGCAAGCTGATGATGGCCCGTTGGAAAGTCTTGCTGTGGCTGGACTGCAAGTGGCTGTAAAGCAGCGGGCAGGGTCAGGATGGCGCTGGGATGTCCCGCTCAGGCCCGGCGAGTAGCAGAGCTTGTTTGTGCCTGCTGCACTGGGTACTGGGAAGGTAGGCGAGGAGCCTTGTGCAGGGGGTCCCTGCCACGCATGAGCGACAGGGCTGCTTTTGCCTTGCCTAAAGCAGTACGTCTACTTCTGCCCCACTGCTCAAATCCCTTGTCTAGGCCTTCATCCCCCCCTCTGCTGCAACATGCTGAGACTAGGCAGATCAGTGTAAGCAGCAGGACATGTGTCTAAGAAGGGGGATTGGTGGGTCCATGGAGGACGTCCTAGAGTAAATCCCTTTTAGCCCCTCCACCCAGAGTGCTCGGGAGCATCTAGCCCCAAGTCCCCACCAAATGCACAAGGAAAGCCTCCAACCTTCTCCATGAAGACACGTCCTGCCAGAATTCGTAAAGGATGAAGCAGGCTTCGTTCGTCAGCTTGCAGGTGGACACACTGCGGGGACAGGAGAAACCCTGAGACAGCGCCTGGCAAGCTGGGACAAAAGGGGTGCACAGCACGGCCATGCCATCTCTGCACCCTCAGGAGTGATGGGCATCGATCTACACAAAATGATCGTCACCAAGAGGATTTCAAAGAGCAGCAGTGACATTTGGATACGTCTACAACTGGTGCTTGCTAAAGCTGGCACACTACTCCAGCGGACCCTGAACGCAGATACTTCACACTTTTCCAGTTCCTTCACACAGGGAACAGAGGAGCTTCGCAGCTATTAAACTGATCCTTGCTGCTGCCTAGAAACCATCATGTAAGTGCTTTATTATTTATAACGCTTCCTTATCGCATCCCTAGCACTGCACAGCAGCATACAGCTTGATGGCGGCCCTTTGCAGTAGGAAAGTGTTATCTGGTACCTTTTACACAGAGAGAAACTAAGACACAAGAGGGCTAAGCGCTGCCTTGCGATCGCAGCACATTCAAAACTGCACCTAACTGCCCCTGAAGTAGATGCCGATTCACCAGGCCACCCTTCCCATACTTCCTCCTGCCGGAGGAGCCTGGACAGGCCTGGGGTTTCTCCAGCCCATGGCACGGCAGAGAGGCAAGCAGTGGGAAGGCAAGAGAGCAAGCTCACAGGGTGAAGTGCCTGGGGACTATCTGCATCCAACTGTGACGCTGGCTATTCCAGCTGCTTGTTTCTGCAAGCTGCTGCTAAGAGCATGGGGCTGCATGTAGGACCCAAGTCTTGAAGTGAAAAAGCAAAGCAAGTCATGGCCAAGCCAGCAACTCTGAGGCTGTGGCCCCAGGTATGGGGCCTCCTGCCATGAACCAGGACAGTAGAGTCCCTCCGGGCTTCGTTCCAGCTCACCACTCACATGGAGAGCCTGCCCATGCAAAACTACCCAGTTGTCTAAACAAATAGTTTTCATGACAGAAAATCCCTGCAGGTCCAAAGAAAAAATATCATCCTTCCTGCCACACATATCAAAAGGAGCACTTTCCCCTTTTGTGGACTGGAAACACCACTTTGTACTGTTGAAACTGAAAAGCTGAAAAATGACACTTTAAATGGGAAGAGCATGAACATTTCCCTCTGAAAGCAGCTTGACATCTCCTGTAGGCGAAGGAATGAGCCTTTCAAGGAGCACCTGTGCAATTTGAGGGGACAACCTGGCTGTGGCATGGCACAGAAAGTCAAACCTGGGGCTCCGTCCTCAACTCTCTGTTCTGAGCTCTGGACCGGTGCTGGGGGACAGAAGCTTGATCTTGCACAGCAGGTTAGTTTTAGGTGTTCTTGGACACTTCCCGGTGGCATTGCAGATGTTTTAATAAAGGTAATACTGTGAAACGAGCTCTCCCCATGACTATTCTCCCTTCCTGTCAAGGCCTTCAAAGCTAGAGCAATGAGTGCACTCTCTTTACATGCACATGCCACATCCGCTAGCGGCAACTGTGGTTGGCATAAAAACCGTTCCCCTCCTTGCTAGAAGCTAACAAGTGGTTCTTCTTGCTGGGGTACCTGCAGCAGGAGACGGAACGGTACCACGAAGCTGAGCAGAGACACAGAACAGCTGTGATGCTGCCCCCTCCTCTCTGCGAGATCCAACCCCAGTGCGCCAAGCCCACGTTTATGCCAGGGACCGACATGTGGGTTGCGGGGCCGCAATGGTCATTCACCCCAGCTCACGCAGTGGAGAACCACGGCCAGGGCCCCTTCTCCCCCAGTTATGTCTGTCATTATAACCCCACTGGCCTCAGGACCCTTCTCTGCCGTGAGAGCACCTCCCTGCTTCCTGAGAATGCCACGAGGCTGGCTTAATCCTGCGCGCACACGTCTATGCTGCTGAGTGCTATGGCCATATCCCAAGCAGGAACGCCGCATGCTGTGCAAAACCCTTTTGGCCCTCGGGGTGCAGCATTACAACCTGCAGTGATACAGGCCCCCTGTTTCACCGGGCGAGCTGTTCCACAAACAGCCCTGCCACCCACACCACTTACTGCAGGCAGCTGCTCTGCCCGGCCGTGACCTCCGTGTAGGATCTGAATGCCTGGCGAAACTCCTCGACGCCGCTCTTTGTTACCGAGATCTGCCTCTTCGCCACAAGGATGTGCTGCAAGGGGACAGCAGACGGGCAGTCAGGCACGGCCACCTGCAAACACACCGGGGCAGCCCCCTGCTCTCCCACTTCCCGTCCTGCTGCAGTGCGAGGCAAACACAGGGCTGCAGGGGAAGGTGCTGGCACCACAATGCTGGGACAAGCCAACAACATAAACTGGCCTCCTCCTCCTCTACCTGCCTGGGTAACTTCCCTTTATATCAGAGACTGCACCAGCAAAGGCGCAGAAGGGAGATCCACCATCTCCTGGTGACGGGGTCCTGCTTTGGGGCTGCTATACCCCCTCCTCCAGCTGAAAGGGGCACGTGGGATTTGAGCCATAGGGCTTTTCCACTGGTACTCTGCACAGTCTAAGGGGGCCTGGAGCAGGCATAAATCTAGGACATTTGGGGACTCACAAGGAGAACCTCATCCCTAGCTGCTCACGGCCATGGGCACTGCCTGGAAGTTTTACACTCCGCATTTGCCTCGGGGTTCCTGCTTAGGAGAAGGTGCTATGTCCCACTCAGCTCACAGCTGATCCCCATCCTCATCCCAGTCAGTGCTAGACCACTAGGCAGTGAATCCATTTTCAGACCAAAGCCAGGAGCTAACCCGGGGGACTCCAGTCGCCGGGCGCACTGGCTATGTGTGTATAGGAGTGTGTGAGAGGACCTGTGAACACTACCGTTGTCACCTGCAAATGGCAGGCACAGGACCAGGACTTACTGCGTCTTTCCCTTTGCACACTGCTTCCTCCTTCAGAGGCTCCAGGCGTGGGCTCTGCATTTCACATCAGAGGAAAAATCATTGTCGCTGTGGGAATTTTATAAGACAAAACGCAGCAGGAACCTGCACGCTTAGCACAGCTTCGTGTGACACACAGGTACCGCTCTGGAGAGGTTTGTTCTGGTAGCCAGGGGTGTGAGAGGATGTGACTTCCACACCTGTGGGGGTCTGTGGGTCCAGACTGACTTTTCAGATCAGCATGGGCCACAGATATGAGAAAGCAGGGGTAGGTCATCAGAGCTGAGGGGGAAATGGCAGATCCAGAGCAGGAATAGCAAGGGATGGGCCTTGCAAGTCAGCGTCCGGTGAATCACTACAGCTCTTTAAGGGACAAAGCCAGGACTAAAATACTGGGGTGCTGGCACAGCAAGACATCCCAGCCCTGACCTGGCCAGTGCCAAGGTGTGGGGCAGCCCCCAGCCCACTCCCACTCCCCTCTGTCACACACCTTGCACTCCAGTTTCTCAATGAGCTGCTGGAGCCTGTTAATCTGTGCCATCCACTGGTTGTCATCTTCGACACAGATGCCTACACGGGAAGGACAGAGAGACGTCATTGCCTAGGCAGTGGCATCCCAGCCCCAGCCCCCCCCCCCCCAGGGCTGCCTGTTTTGGTGCTACTTATTATCCAGCAGCAGCAGGAGGGAGATCAAGGCCCAGCAGTAGCTCCGTGTGGTTTTGTACGTAAGGGATCCAAACTCTCTTTGTGTGGGACTAATCAAAACTGTGTGGGGATTGCTAGGTGGACAGCACAAGGAGGAGAAAAGATACCACATAGGAAACGCAGGGTGGGCAGAACAGCATGTGGCAGAACGGTAAGGATCAGGACGTCCAGCCAGATGCTAGCCCTTTCTCCAAAAGAGCCAGCAATCTCCATCCAGGTGAGAAGTAGATGGTCCCCCTAAGAGACCCTATGCTAGGGACTGTCATCCCAGGGCGGCAGGGCGCCATCTTTGGTCTGCAGGTCCCTGGAGGCTCCCACACTCCTTCCAGGGGATCTGGAAAAGGTGACTAGGCAAGACAAGTCCAGCCATGTGGTGTACCCTGTAGCTAGGAAGGAACTCCCACTATCCTTCTATTTTCAAAGATGCTAATTAATTAATTAGATTGAAAATGCTTAAGACTCAGAAAACGGCAAAAGCTTCTATACTGTTGATACAAAACCAAAAATCTGATTGCGTCAACCTGAAACTTTTCCCACTGCTCAAGAGATAGAAAATCCCAGAGAAGCTCCACCTGATCCTGTGTGTGAAGGTCCACATTCAGTCCTGGACAAGACCCCACCGTGCTGCATTGCTGCAATCACATTGTGTCTTCTCTCTAGTGGGGTGGGGACTGGTGCAGAAACGGGGACCCCTGGGCACAGACCTGAGGGATGGCAGGGCTACGGAGACTGCTCCTCTCCTGTCTGCTCAGGCTGCAGGTACCTGTTGTTAGCATCCCGGAATAGGGATCCGTTGGAGACAGACAGATGTTTTTCTGTCCTCTGCGCCCACATCGTCTTCCTGTCCTCAGGCCAATCAAGGTCTCAGATTTCTTTACGTCCTTCCTGAAAGAATGAAACACAAAGGGGAGTTGCGATAAGTCACTATACAGGTCAGCTTCACTGTGGGGTTAGAAACGGCAGAGCCTCCTCCGAGATGTCCCTCTCAGGAGGCTCTGGGAGCCCTGCTTCAGCCCCAGGCCAGACGGAGGCTGCAATCCTGTTACCAGCGCCATGGAGAGGGGAAGGCCCAGCGTGCCCCCACGGACAATCTCTGCTCAGCACGGCCAGCCAGGCATCCCATCGTGCACCCATTACCTCTCCCGTCCTGCCTGCTCCTCCATGGTGTCCACGGCACACTCGAGCGAGGCCTGCAGCGACTGCAGCTGGGTCGTGGTTTCCCGCAACAGGAAGCGGGTCAGGAACTGCTCCATCTTAGAGGAGGCTTCGTACCTCTGCGGGAAGAGGAGAGGCACTGTCAGATGCCCCCCAGGGACAGGGGGTAGCTCTGTGCAAGGGAGGCAGAGATGCATCTGGAAGGGGCTGGCCCTTAAAATAACACAAAACCGCAGCGCAGGGGCGGGGGG